TTTTTTTTCTGAAATGGAGTCTTGCTCTTGTTGCCCAGGCTGGAGTGCAGTGGCACAATCTCAGCTCACTGCAACCTCCACTTCCGGGTTCAATCAGTTCTCCTGCCTCAAGCCTCCCAAGTAGCTGGGACTACAGGCGCCTGCCACCATGTCTGGCTAATTTTTGTATTTTTAGTCTCACCATCTTGGCCAGGCAGGTTTTGAACTGCCGACCTTGTGATCCACTCCCCTCGACCTCCCAAAGCGTTGGGCTTACAGGCATGAGCCACTGCACCTGGCCAATTAAGCGATTTTCAACATTACAATTTATAAATTAAGTCTCTTCTCGCTCCTTTTTGCATACTTTATGTTGTCTGAATTGACAACAGAATCTCAGTTGCTTCAGTAACTCAGTAAACGCATTGGTGTGGTGAGGTGGCTCACGTCTATAACCCAGCATTTGGGGAGGCCAAGGCAAGAGGATCACATAAGCCCAGGAGGTCGAGGCTGCAGTGAACCATGATCCACTGCACGCCAGCCTGGGTGACAGAGTGAAACTCTGTTTCATTGTAACACTTTTTTTTTGGTGGGCTGGGGCGGTGATTCTCCTGCCTGGGCCTCCCAAAGAGTTGAGATTACAGGCGTGAGCCACTGAACCTGGCTAAGAACTCATACAACCTAACGGATTCAAATTTTAAATGTGGTGAACCACAGTTATCTTAGATGTTCCAAAAACATGCTGATGGCTTTGTGCTGGCAACTGACAAGACTTCCCCAGGAACCCTGCCCAGTGGTAGCCCTGGTTCTGGGCTTCCCATCCTCCCATCTCTGCGTACCATCTGGTCTTGGGGTCTGTAGTTCTGGCCCAGAGTGCACCCTGAGTAGTTTTCCGTAATTCATTTTTTTTTTTTTTTTGAGACTGAGTCTTGCTCTGCTGCCCAGGCTGGAGTACAGAGTAACCTCTGCCTCCCAGGTTCAAGCAACTCTCGTGTCTCAGCCTCTGGAGTAGCTGGGATTACAGGCGCCTGCCACCACATCCAGCTAATTTTTTTGAACTTTTAGTAGAGACAGGGTTTCACCATGTTAGCCAGGCTGGTCATGAACTCTTGACCTCAAGTGATCCGTCGGCCTCGGCCTCCCGAAGTGCTTGGGATTATAGGTGGGAGCCACCGTCCCGGTTGATTCTGCAATTCTTTAGTGCCAAAGACCTCTGACCTCAATGAGATCCTAAAACGGCTAAGTGCCTTTCCTAAGAGAAGTTGGCTGCTGCCATGCCCTTTTTAGCACTGCCAGGACTGCGTATCCCTGAGGATACCTGGCACGGCTGACTGGGACCCTCTCCCGAGCTCCGCGGACTTGCTGTCTTCACCCGCAAAGGCAAGGCTTCAGGCCACCATCCAGGCCGTTTGCTGAGTGCGAGTGCTGAGCTGGGTGAAAGCCGCGGCTGGTGGGGGACGTGCCTGGGCACCGCGTCCAGCCCCCAACCCATTCTGGAAAGGCGTGGGCGTCGGCTGGCAGGAAATACCGGGAAGGGAAAGAAGGAAACGTGACTAGAAAGAACAAAGCTTCGTTTAAGGAGAAACCTCCCAAGCAGCAGGAACGGGGAAGCAGCTGTGCAGCGTGTCGCGGAGCCCACGCGCGCCCCGGGACCCGCCGAGCGGGGCAGGGCGGGGCCCGATGTGCGGTTTTCTGCAGGAAACTGCGCTGGGAACGGCTGGGGCTGGGGGGGTGTCGGACAGCTTGTGCCGGATGCGACGCGCTGGGCGGGAAAGTGCGGGCCACGCGCGCATCCATGCCAGCACGAGAGGCTGCGGCGGGAACTCCGTGTGCCCCCGTGGGCTCCGGCCGTGGAGCTGTGCGAGGCGCGGGTGCCGACCCAACAGCGTGGGTTTCGGGCAGTCCCGCGGAGACGGCGTCGTGGGCGCCCTCGGCCTGGGCATGGAGATGGCCCACCCAGGCGGCGGTGCTGCGGCGCCGCGGGGGGCGCCGGGTCTCGGAGGAGCGTGCCGGGGCGCAGCCCACCGCGCGGTACCCCGGCCCGCCCCGCCCGGCAGAGGCCCCGTAGCCCGAGGCCCCGCACGACCTCACGCCGAGGGCGCCAGGCCTGCCTAGGAGCCGTAGCCCTGGGGACCCGGCGCCCCCTGGGCGGGAGCCTGGGAGGCCACTGCAGCGCGAGCACGAGGGGCGCGCAAGCTGAACGCTCCAGCCCCGCGGACGCCGTTCCCAAGGCCCCGCCCCTTCCGCGCCTCTCCGGCCGCGAGGCCCCGCCCCTTCCCTGCCTCTCCGGCCGCCAGGCCCCGCCCCTCCCCGCCCCCTGTGCCGGCCCCGCCCCGCCCCGTCCCAGCGTGCCGTGCGCGGCGGCAGCGCGCGGGCCTCTGGGGCGGGACTTCCGGCGTGCCGGAGCGTCTTCCGGCCGAGCGTGTGTGGCCGCCCGGCCTCCCTGACATGCAGGTGAGCCCCGCGGCGGCCGCCCCTGCTCCTCCTCCTTGCACGGTCTCAGTGTCCCTTCCGCGAAGTGGGCGCGCCGGGCAGCGAGGCTCCGCCGCGGCCGGGACGGGCGTGGGTCGCGGGCGACGCCGGGCGGGCGCGTGAGGTGGAGCGGGTGTGTGAGGGGCGTGTGCGCCGGTGCGAGGGGGGCGGGGGCGGCGGGAGCGCGTCGGGGCACCGCGCGTGGGAGGCGGGGCGCGTGCGCGGGGCGGGCGGGCCTGAGAGCGGCGCGCCGGGTGCCGGGGCCCGGAGCGTGCGGACCGGGGATGTGGCCGGCGGGCGTGGGCGCGCGGCTCGTGGGCACGGCGGCGGCGCCGGGTCCCCAGGACCCCCCAGGGAGCGGAGGCTCCGGGCGGGCTGTCCCCCGGCGGCGGGCGTGAGGGTGGGCGCATCGCGTCCCGCCCTTGGCTCGGCCCCAGCCCGGGAAGGTTCCAGGGCTGTCGGCTGTCCGGGCTGGAGGGGACCCGCCCGCCTCGGCTTCCTGGCCACGTGGGGGGACGGGTGCCCGGGCACACCCGCCTGAGAAGTTTCTGCAGAGGCCGGGTCTCTGTCGCCAAAACCGGTCAGGAGCCCCCGGCCCCCGCAGTGCCGGGGTTCCAGGCCGGAGCCACGCGCACCGGCTCCTCCAGCGTCGGCTCCGCTGGCTGCCGTCGCTGCACACACGGCGCACACATGTGCACGCTTGACACACACGTGTGCCGCGCATTTCCTACCGCTGGTCTCCACGGAAAACGGTGCAAAGCCCCTGCTGCGACTCCCATCCTTTCCGCCAGCACCAGGGCAGTCCCGGAGCTACAGCCTGGGACCCCGGGAGCAGTGGGGGGAGCAGTGGGGGGAGCAGTGGCCTCTCCACCGCAGCCTGCCGGAGAGTGGGTTCCAAGACCCCTGTGGGCGACAGGGCCAGGGCCTGCGCCTCTCCATGACACTCCGCGTTCCCTCTGTGCGGGGCCGTTCTGCCCAAGGAAGGTCTTCGGCGTTTGGGGAAGAAACACGTTTTGATGCAGGAACGCAGTCCGTGTGAGTCTGGAAGTCTGTGTGACGTGAGGAGCACGACAGAGAGTGTCCTCACGGGCCTCAGAGCAGAGCGGCCCCTGGGCACTGCGGAGCCGGGGAGGTGCCAAAGCCCAGACAAGGGCCTGGTTGCGGTGTGAGCACCCCGCACGCATCACACACAGCGTGCCCTGGGGCAGTTCTCTGTAAAGTTCCATGGCAAGTCAGAGGAGCAGCCCAGCCCTTCACTGCATCCTGTATCCAAGCACTTCGCGGCAGAGCTGATGAGCTGGGCGCGGGGGACAGAGGCAGGGGACAGAGGCGGGACCCGCGCCGGCGAGCTGGGCGCGGGGGACGGAGGCAGGACCCGCGCCGGCGAGCTGGGCGCGGTGGGGGAGAGAGGCAGGGGACAGAGGCAGGACCCGCGCCGGCGAACTGGGCGCGGGGGACGGAGGCGGGACCCGCGCCGGCGAGCTGGGCGCGGGGGAGAGGCAGGGGACAGAGGCAGGGCCCGCGCCGGCGAGCTGGGCGTGGGGGACAGAGGCAGGGGACAGAGGCAGGACCCGCGCCGGCGAGCTGGGCGCGGGGGACAGAGGCAGGGGACAGAGGCAGGGCCCGCGCCGGCGAGCTGGGCGCGGGGGACAGAGGCAGGACCCGCGCCGGCGAGCTGGGCGCGGGGGACAGAGGCAGGATGTCCTCAGTCCGCTTCTCCCTCTAGTGTCCCCTCTGCTGGACACAAGCTGGCAGGACTGTCTTTCTCTTCCACGTGGCTACATCAACTCCATCCTCCCACCCTTTCCTCTTCCTTCCCTGAAGTGTGAAATCACAGGTCCCGGGGCATGGTGGTCATAGGCAGAAGGGCCTCTAGGTGGGTGGACAGTGGTCCTGTTTCCAAGCTGCAGGACCGCAGGTAGGGGCAGAGACCCAACCCCATAGTGGTTGGTCATTGGACACCTGGGTGTGCCCTCAAGTTACTCCTGGACCACTCCCCTGGAGAACCACCACTTGTTTGGTTTTTCATTCCTTTCCTTCCTGCCTGACCCAGATTTCTACTCAGAAGAGAGAGAAGGAGCTGGTGGTCATGGAATGGGCTGGGGTCAGAGACAGGGTGCCTGGAGCTGAGGCAGCCACTGTTTCAGCCTAGCCAGGCAAGTGATTCTGGGTCGTCTTCCCTGTGCCATGGCCAAAACCCTCCCTCCCCACCTTCCCTGGGGCCATTGCTGACTCAGACCAAGCCTCTCATCTGCAGCAGGAAGGTAGTAGGGCTAGGAGGAGGTGGCAGCAGGGTGCTGCCCTTGGTTCTGGTTCTGGAATGTGTCACTAAGGAGAGGGGCTGAGGAGAGGGGGCTGTGGGCACAGGGTGGTGACCTGTTCCTGGGTCTTCTTATCACCCCCCCCCACACACACACACACACACAAACCCTCTCAGAACTGCTGTGGCTGGCTGTTCAGACACTCACTGCCTTTGCCTGTGGCTCCATGTACTGGGTGCTGCTGTGCTTGCCCTGTGAGTTCCCTTCCTAACTCCTCATAAGCCTGCAGCCTAGGTTGTCTTGTGGCTCCCTGCCTCCTAGTTGGGGGAGCTTCACTGGTTGACCTTGCTCCACGACGATGTTCTCTCCATGCAGGTGGGTGTATTGGGTACCAAAGCACGGAAGTTCCCAGCCAGGGGGCAGCCACACTCCCCTCAGTCTGCACCAGGAGCCCCAGTCTCACCCAGGGAAGAGACAGGGCAACGTGGCGCAGCATGCGCCTCTGCAGAAGGAAGCAGGTCAAGGGACGGTTTCAGAGGAAGTGAATCAGGTTCCTGGCCTTTGGGTAGGAGGGTAGGCACTGTGGTGGGCCTGGCTCTGGCAGCACCTTCTGACAGGAGCACCTGCCTGGCTGGGGTTCCCGGAGCTTCTTGGGCCAGAGCTCCTATATCAGGAGCCTGTGACCCAGGGGAAGGCCGTGTGCCCACCTGCTGGGTAGTGGGCGAGGCTGGCTCCGGCTGCCCACCTGCCAGGTCTCTGCCTCTGCCAAGGCTATGTGGCCCCCTCAACTGATTTAGAGCGGTGCTTGGTGCCAGAACTGTGAAACTAGCCAAGAGCTTCTTCCCAGCAGTGTCCTGAAGCTTCACGAAGGACTTACAGCCCGGGTCGACTATGGTGGTTGTTCATCTCCCCCCGACGCCTCCGCAACCCCAGTGAGAGAAGGCAGAATCACTTTTCTGGGTGGTCCCTAGAACCTAAAAATGAACAGGATAATAAAAGTTTAGTGTGGAAAGACCAGAAGATACAGATAAAGCAAAAGAGAAGAAACACAATGACCAGTAATTCTAGACAGCCTGTTTGTTTACTTTTTTGTTTTGTTTCTAAAGCTTCCACATTAAGGGCACGTGATTTGCTTTTTTTTTTGAGACAGAGTCTCGCTCTGTCACCCAGGCTGGAGTGCAGTGACACAATCTTGGCTCAACACAACGTCTACCTGCTAGGTTCAAGCAATTCTCCTGCCTCGGCCTCCTGAGTAGCTGGGATTACAGGCGGGTGCCACCATGCCCAGCTGATTTTTGTATTTTTAGTAGAGATGGGGTTTCACCATGTTGGTCAGGCTGGTCTTGAACTTCTGACCTCAGGTGATCCTCTCACCTTGGCCTCCCAAAATGCTGGGATTACAGGCATGAGCCACTATGCCCAGCTTCATGTGCTTTTTAGTGTGCCTCCCATCATGCTTTTTCTGTGGGACTGGCTGTGTAAGTGCTGCTTTATAGTGTCTTTGTGTCGACTGGCACATCAAGAGCATGGCAGCGTCTGTCTGTGTTCCAGCATCTGGGTGTGCCAGGTCCATGAGCATCCTCAGGTTTTCTGTGTATGTGGAAAATCCCCGTGTCTGGGCGCAGTGGCTCATGCTTGTAATCACAATATTGTGGGAGGCAGGCGGATCACTGGAGTCCAGGAGCTTGAGATCAGCCTGCCCAACATGTCAGAACCCCACCTCTACTAAAAGAAGAAAAACTAGCTGGGCGTGGTCGCTTGTGCCTGTAATCCCAGCTACTTGGGAGGCTGAGGTAGGAGAATTGCTTGAACCCTGGGGGTGGAGGTTGCAGTGAGCCGAGATGGCACCAGTGCACTCCAGCCTGGGAGACAGAGTGAGACTCTATCTCAAAAAAAAAAAAAAAAATTCCCCCAGAGTGGAATTTGTGAAAGAAAGGAAATGCATGTTGGAAAAAGAAAAAAGCAAAACAAAATAACAACGATAAGTGAAAAAGAAAATGCATGTTGCAAAGTATATTCGTGAGCAGACTGTCATCAGAAATGGCTTTCTCAACTTTAATTTCCGCTAACAGCTCAGTAGAGTCGCTGGTGTCCAAGTCCTGTGATACCATTGTCTTCACTCCATACACAGGTGGCGATGCCGACTTATTTCAGTGTTTGGCTCTTTGATCGCGAATCAAGCCAAGCTGCTCATTTCTGGGGCTCTGAATGTCTCTTTTGTATTCTTCTCATGTGTTATTTTTGTAATGGGCCTTTTCTTGGGAGGGGGGATGAATTTTCACTCTTGTTGCCCAGGCTGGAGTGCAATGACATGATCTCGGCTCACTGCAATCTCTGCCTTCTGAGTTCAGCCGATTCTCCTGCCTTGGCCTCCCGAGTAGCTGGGATTACAGGTGCCCACTACCATGCCCGGCTAATTTTGTATTTTTTTTTTTTTTTTTTTTTTTTTTTGAGACGGAGTTTCACTCATGTTACCCAGGCTGGAGTGCAATGGCGTGATCTCGGCTCACCGCAACCTCCGCGTCCTGGGTTCAGGCAATTCTCCTGCCTCAGCCTCCTGAGTAGCTGGGATTACAGGCACGCACCACCATGCCCAGCTAATTTTTTGTATTTTTTATAGAGACGGGGTTTCACCATGTTGACCAGGATGGTCTTGATCTCTTCACCTCGTGATGCACCCGCCTCGGCCTCCCAAAGTGCTGGGATTACAGGCTTGAGCCACCGCGCCCGGCCTAATTTTGTATTTTTAATAAAGATGAGGTTGCACCATGTTGACGAGGCTGGTCTCGAGTGCCTGACCTCAGGTGATCTGACCGCCTCGGCCTCCCAGAGTCCTGGGATTACAGGTGAAAGCCACTGTGCCTGGCCATGGGACATTTCTTCATCAGAGTGCCTTTTCTTGATTTGTAAGATTTATTTGCATATTATGAATAGATTATGGTTAGAAGTCCGTTGTCAAGTATTTTCCAAATACTTTTTCTGGTTTATTATTTGCCCTCATTTTTTTTTATTTTCTGAATGAAATTTTTACATTTTTATGTAGTTCTATTCATATTTTCTTTCATGATCTCTCCCATTGCTCGTATACCTGGAAAAGCCTCCTCCAACCTGAGATCGTGTCAATAAGTATCCGTATGTTCTAGTGCTTTCCGCGGCGTGGTCATCATTGTCATTAGTATTATCGTAGGCTTCTCAGAGCCTACAATTTTGTTTTGTTTTGTTTTGAGAGACAGAGTCTTGCTCTGTCACCAGGCTGGAGTGCAGTGGCATGATCTCACACCCCTCCCCCTTCACCCCCATTCAAGCAATTCTCCTGCCTCAGCCTCCCAAGTGGCTGGGACTACAGGCGTGCAGCACCATGCCCAGCTAATTTTTATATTTTTAGTAGAGCCGGTGTTTCACTGTGTTGGCAGGCTGGTCTCAATCTCTTGACCTCGTGATCTGCCCACCTCGGCCTCCCAAAGTGCTGGGATTACAGGTGTGAACCACCATGCCTGGCCTCTTTTTTTTTTTGAAAAGAGTTTTGCTCTTGTTGCTCACACTGGAGCGTGATGATGAGATCTCAGCTCACTGCAACCTCCACCTCCCAGGTTCAAGCGATTCTCCTGCCTCAGCCTCCCAAGTAGCTGGAATTACAGGCATTAGCCATCATGCCTGGCTAATTTTTATGTTTTTAGTAGAAACGGGGTTTCACCATCTTGGTCAGGCTGGCCTCAAACTCCTGACCTCAGATGAGCTGCCTACCTCGGCCTCCCAGAGTTCTTGGATTACAGGCGTGAACCACTGCCCCTGGCCCAAATTTTTATTTTTTATTTTTTATGAGACAGAGTCTTGCTCTGTCGCTCAGGCTGGAGTGCAATGGAGCAATCTCAGCTCACTGCAACCTCCGCTTCCTGGGTTCAAGCGATTCTGCTGCCTCAGTCTCCCGAGTAGCTGGGATTACAGGCTCCCGCCACCACACCCGGCAAATTTTGTGTGTGTGTGTGATGGAGTCTCACACTGTTGCCCAGGCTGTAGTGCAGTGACACGATCTCTGCTTATTGCAACCTCCGCCTCCTGGGTTCAAGCAGTTCTCCTGCCTCAGCCTCCTGAGTAGCTGGGACTACGGGCATACGCCACCACGCCCAGCTAATTTTTTTGCATTTTTAGTAGAGTCGGGGTTTCACGATGTTGGCCAGGATAGTCTCGATCTCCTGATCTGGTGATCCGCCCGCTGCAGCCTCCCAAAGTGCTGAGATTACAGGCATGAGCCACCGTGCCCAGCCAATTTTTGTGTTTTTAGTAGAGATGGAGTTTCACCATCTTGGCCAGGCTGGTCTCGAACTCCTGACCTCGTGATCCACCAGCCTTGGCCTCCCAAAGTGCTGAGATTACAGGCTTGAGCCACCACGCCTGGCCAATTTTTATTTTTTTGTAGGATCTCACTATGTTTTCCAGGCTGTTCTTGAACTCCTGGGCTCAAGTAATCTTCCCACCTCAGTCTCTCAAAGTGCTGGGATTATAGGCGTAAGCTGCCACGCCGGGCCTGTGGCTTCGTTATTTTCCACGTAAACCTTGCCATGGTTGGGCTTTCTTTGGATTTGAAGGAGGAGGTGGGAACCAGTGTTTTCCTGGATGGCCAGTGGTGGTCAGGGTGGCCTTGGACTGCGAGGGGAGGGTTCTATGGCTGGTAGTGCGGAAGCTCCTTTCTGAGTGTCTGGGAGGAACTGGCGGCCCAGTCAGGAGGCCCAGGAATACTGGAGAATGGAATCTGGCTGCCAGGGCTGGTCCAGGGCAGGGCTCTGTCCCAGTGGCCAAGGCCTCACCCAGTGCCATGAGGACCCAGGCCCTATTAGGAGAAGGTGGCCCCATCCACAGAGTGGTTGCCCATGCGGCATTTCTCTGCTGCTTGTTGAATGTGCTCTGCTCTCCCTGCAGCCCTCTGGACCCCGAGGCTGGACCCTACTGTGACACACCTACCATGCAGACACTCTTCAGACTCCTCTGGCTTGCTCTGGCCTGCGGCCCTGTTCACCCTACGCTGTCAAAGTCAGATGCCAAAAAAGCTGCCTCGAAGACACTGCTGGAGAAGGTAGGGGTGGCCTGGGGAATTGAGGTGACTGCACTGGCTGAGGGCTGATCCATCATCATCTTCTCCTTTCTGTCCACTGGGGCCTGGAGCCAGGAGGCTCGAGGGGCTTAGCTCCTCACAGAGGCACCTGATGAGCTTGCAGCTGGCGGGCGGCCTGTGTGGTTCCGGGGCTCTGGCCAGTCAGCGCCTCTGAGTGAGCAGCCTCTGGAGCCAGGTTTTGAGGGTAAGCAGGGTACATCCCCACTGACCCCACTTGGGGCTTATTTTGTTGTTTTTTGTTTGGTTTTTGTTTTTTGTTTCTTTTTGAGACGGAGTCTTACTCTGTCACCAGACTGGCGTGATCTCGGCTCACTGCAACCTCTGCCTCCCAGCTTCAAGGGGTTCTTCTCCCTCAGTCTCCCAAGTAGCTGCGACTACAGGTGGGCACCATCACATCCAGCTAATTTTTGTATTTTTTAGTATAGACGCGGTTTCACTATGTTGGCCAGGATGGTCTCAATCTCTTGACCTCGTGATGCGCCCACCTTGGCCTCCCAAAGTGCTGGGATTACAGGCGTGAGTGACAGTACCTGGCCCTTTTTTTGTTGCTGTTGAGACGGAGTATCGCTCTGTTGCCCAGGCTGGAGTGCAGTGGCACAACCTTGGCTCACTGCAACCTCCACCTCCCGCGTCCAAGCAACTATCCTGCCTCAGCCTCCCGAGTAGCTGGGATTACAGCATCCACCACCACACCGGCTAATTTTTTATTTTTGGTAGAGACGGGGTTTCGCCATGTTGGCCAGGCTGGTCTCAAACTCCTGACCTGGTGATCCACCCGCCTTGGCCTCCCAGAGCGCTGGGAGTATAGGCCTGAACCACACGCCCAGCTGGGGCTTGTTTTCTGTTGTTACCATCCTCGCCTCTTGCTTAAAGCACCTGCATCATGTTGCTGTCTCCATCATGGCCTTGAGCTGCGTTTGTCTCATGCACTTTGGGCTGTTCCCCTGGGATGGCCCTGGAGCTTGCACCTGCAGGGGTGTAAACTCATAGAACCAGCCCTCAGCCCCAGCAGTCCCCATGCCGCTGGCTGGACCCTGCCACAGGACTGTTCCTGTGACTTAGTTCTGGACTGGCAGATGCTCTCTCTGTGCTGCCTGGGAGCAAATACACCATGTAATGGGCATCTCTCTCACGGGGCCCCTGAGGCAAGGTCAAGGGGAGGTTGAGCCAGGCCACGGAGTGTGGACAGAAGAGGCAGGTCGATAGCCGCATGGAGGGTTTCCCAGAGCAGAGGTGGGGTCGGGGGAGGTGTGACATGGCAGGAAGAGGTCACATTGGCAGGGGCGGTGCCAGGCAGTAGTTGGCCAGCAGGGTGGCGTGTGCCTGGCATATCATGTTCTTTTTTTTTTTGGTTGAGACAGAATCTCGCTCTGTTGTTTAGGCTAGATCGCAATGGCGTGATCTCAGCTCACTGCAACCTGTGCCTCTCAGTTCAAGCAATTCTCCTGCCTCAGCCTCCCAAGTAGCTGGGACTACAGGCATCCACCACCACGCCTCGCTAATTTTTGTATATTTAGTAAACACGGGCTTTCACCATGTTAACCAGGCTGCTCTTGAACTCTTGACCTCAGGTGATCCACCTCCCCTTGGCCTCCCAAAGTGCTGGGATAACTGATGTGAACCGCTGCGCCCGGCCCACCTGGCACATTCTTGTCCAGCAAAGGGTGTGGCCCTGGATGGGTGTAAGGTGGCCAGAGCTGGACCTGTCCACCCTCACATGCAAGGAGGGAGCCACCATAGCCATCTGCCTGCCTGCCTGCCTTCCAGCCCGGAGCAAGGGTGGGAAAGGCCTGTACAGTCAGTCGGCGTGTGCTGACAGCCAGAGCCCTTCTGAACAGAGTCGCCTGCTGTGGCCTCGATCCTCTCCAGGCAAGGCCTCCAGGTCAGCAGGACTGTGTTGATCCAGACACTCGGTTGCTGGCTGAATGGAAGGGACTTGCTGGGTGCAGTTCCGTGTCTACACTGAGGACAGAGGACTGACGGCTTTCTCTCGTTCCTTTTATTTCAGAGTCAGTTTTCAGATAAGCCAGTCCAAGACCGGGGTTTGGTGGTGACAGACCTCAAAGCTGAGGACGTGGTTCTTGAGCATCGCAGCTACTGCTCGGCCAAGGCCCGGGACAGACACTTTGCTGGAGATGTACTGGGTTATGTCACTCCCGTAAGTCGGGGTCCTCACAGGGCAGAGGGGGGTCCTGAGGCTCAGACGGTGCCCTGGCCCCTCGATGATCTCCTCTGGCCAGTCAGTGATGGCGGTCTGTCTTCTGCTCTCCCCGGGCTGCCGCTGCTGTGAGGCAACAGGGAGAGACGGCTTCCTGGAGATGTCGGAGTGTGAGGCGTTGGGCTTCTCTCCAGGGCTTGCTGCGGGGACCTCTGTGGGTTCTGAATCTAGAGGTGGGCTCTCAGGTTGTCTGTGGTCAGGAAGTGGGTGTGCTTCCTCAGCCAGGGACGGGGAGTTTCTCACACCCAGCCTCCCCTCCTCTTGCCGTTCGCAGCTGCCGGCTTGCAGCCGTGGTGTGCACTAGCTCAGGGCAAGGCTTGAGACGAGCACCAGTCACTCTTGGTGAAAGGGATGTTGTGGCCTGGGTGTGAGTGGCAGTCCAGAGTTGGGGAAGGATACCCCAGACCAGGAGCTGACGTCAGTCAGCGCTGAGAGCTGTCTACACTGGCCGGCCCTGGGCACATGCAGAGCCACCAGAATGACAGCACCATGGTGAGGCAGTGGCTCACTCACCTGTCCTCCATCTGATGTCTCTGCCCTTTGTCAGTGGAACAGCCATGGCTATGATGTCACCAAGGTCTTCGCGAGCAAGTTCACACAGATCTCGCCCGTCTGGCTGCAGCTGAAGAGGCGTGGCCGTGAGATGTTTGAGGTCACCGGCCTCCATGATGTGGACCAAGGTTCTCATCCTGCTTGACTGTGCTTGCCCCACAGGCTGGAAAGAGTGTGAGTGGGAGAGCAGGTGTGTGTGTGTGAGAATGTGAGTGTGCAAGTGTGAGACTGCTGTGGGAGAGCAGGTGTGTGTTTGTGAGAATGTGAGTGTGCAAGTGTGAGACGATGTGGGAGAGCAGGTGTTGTGTGAGAATGTGAGTGTGCAAGTGTGAGACTGATGGAGAGCAGGTTGTGTGTGTGAATGAGTGCAAGTGTGAGACTGATGGGGAGCAGGTGTGTGTGTGAGAATGTGAGTGTGTAAGTGTGAGACGTGGGAGAGATTGAGAATGAGTGTGCAAGTGTGAGACATGATGTGGGAGAGCAGGTGTGTGTGTGAGAATGTGAGTGTGCAAGTGTGAGACATGATGTGGGAGAGCAGGTGTGTGTGTGAGAATGTGAGTGCAAGTGTGAGATGATGGAGCAGGTGTGTGTGTGTGTGAGAATGTGAGTGTGCAAGTGTGAGACTGATGGAGAGCAGGTTGTGTGTGTGAATGAGTGCAAGTGTGAGACTGATGTGGGAGAGGTGTGTGAGAATGTGAGTGTGTAAGTGTGAGATGTGGGAGAGAGAATGTGAGTGCAAGCGTGAGACTGATGGAGAGCAGGTGTGTGTGTGAGAATGTGAGTGTGCAAGTGTGAGACGATGTGGGAGAGCAGGTGTTTGTGTGAGAATGTGAGTGTGCAAGTATTTGATGTTGGAGAGCAGGTGTGTGTGTGAGAACGTGAGTGCAAGTGTGAGACTGATGTGGGTGAGCAGGTGTGTGTGTGAGAATGTGAGTGCAAGTGTGAGACATGATGTGGGAGAGCAGGTGTGTGTGTGTGAGAATGTGAGTGTGCAAGTGTTTGATGTGGGAGAGCAGGTGTGTGTGTGAGAACATGAGTGCAAGTGAGACTGATGTGGGAGAGCAGGTGTGTGTGTGTGAATGTGAGTGTGCAAGTGTGAGACTGATGTGGGAGAGGTGTGTGACAATGTGAGTGCAAGTGTGAGACATGATGTGGGAGAGCAGGTGTGTGTGTGAGAATGAGTGCAAGTGTGAGACTAATGTGGGAGAGCAGGTGTGTGTGTGAGAATGTGAGTGCAAAAGACTGATGTGGGAGAGCAGGTGTGTGTGAGAATGTGTGCAAGTGAGATGGAGAGCAGGTGTGTGTGAATGTGAGTGCAAGTGTTTGATGTGGAAGAGCAGATTGTGTGTGTGTGTGAGAATGAGTGCAAGTGTGAGACTGATGTGGGAGGTGTGTGTGAGAATGTGAGTGTGCAAGTGTGAGACTGATGTGGGAGAGGTGTGTGTGAGAATGTGAGTATGCAAGTGAGATATGGAGAGCAAGTGTGTGTGAATGTGAGTGCAAGTGTTTGATGATGTGGGAGAGCAGGTTGTGTGTGTGTGAGAATGTGAGTGCAAGTGTGAGACATGATGTGGGAGAGTAGGTGTGTGTGTGAGAATGTGAGTGTGCAAGTGTGAGACTGATGTGGGAGAGCAGGTGTGTGTGTGAATGTGTGTGCGAGTGTGAGACTGATGTAGGAGAGCAGGTGTGTGTATGA